CTAATCCTCCCCAAAAAAACTTCCCTTGGATCCTCTTTAATCTCTTTGCTACTGCAATAGGAATGGGAAACAGGGACAAGAAATAAGTTAGGAAGATTCAACAGAGTGGACTTTATGAGAGTAAGACGACCTTCCTTTGAAAGGTACATACGCTTCCATTCTGCTAACCTCTTCTTCACCATTTCCACAATAGCGTTCCAAATCTGCATGTTTTTAAACCGTGCTCCTAGAGGAAGTCCAAGATATGACATAGGCAGTTGTGCTACCCTGCAATCCAATATCTCAGCCAACTCCTCTACGTTGTCGACCTCTCCTGCTGTGATAGCCTTTAATTTTTCCAAATTTATTTTCAATCCAGAGATGGCTTCAAAGCATTGGATTAAACGACACAAGTTCCTGAATTGCTCAACATCCGCATGACAGAAAATCGACGTATCATCTACAAATAGCAAATGAGAGACTTGCAATTGCTCAACCACAAAACCCTTAATAAACTTTGCCCCACAGCCTTCTCAAGCATCCTACTAAAAGCTTCCATAAAACTGCCAAACAGCAGTGGGGACAGAGGGTCCCCTTGTCTCAATCCACTACTACTGCGAAAATAGCCCTCTGGGGAGCCAATCACCAGAACTGAAACAAAACCCTTAATAAACTTTGCCCCACAGACTTCACAAGCATCCTACTAAAAGCTTCCATAATAATGACAAATAGCAATGGAGACAGAGGGTCCCCTTATCTCAATCCTCTACTACTGCGATTCTGCAAAAGTAGTCCTCCGGGGTGCCATTCACCATAACTGAGTACGAAACCGTAGAGATGCAAAACTGAATTCGACGACACCATTTCTCCCTATAACCACATCTCCTGAGCATATACAAAACTAATCCCCAGTTAACGTTATTATATGCCTTCTGAATGTCGAGTTTACATAACATTCCTGGAAACCCCAATCGCAGTCTGGAGTCAATGCATTCGTTTGCTATAAGTACGGATTTAAAATCTGGCACCATTTGACTAAGGCATTCTGAAATTTAGACACCACCTTTTCCAGCACCTCCTTTAATCTATTCGTCAAAATTTTTGTAATAATCTTGTAAACCCCACTCACTAAGCTAATAGGCCGGAAGTCTTTAATATCAATCGCTCCCGGTTTCTTAGGAATGAGCACAATGAATGTAGCATTGGCACTTCGTAGGAATCTTCCACACTGAAAAAAGTAGGTAAGAACATCGACAATGTCTGAACGCCACTTCCCAACAACCCTTATAGAATGAGAAAGAGAATCCATCGGGTCCTGGAGCCTTATCGTCGTTCATACTGAACACCACCTCCCTAATTTCATCCTCCCCAAATTGTCTTTCTAACCAACTATCATCCTCCTCCTCAATAGTTGAGAAGTCTTAACCTCTGCAGTTACGGCCTCCAACTCGATTGCTCACTATACAAAGACTGATAAAAACTTACCATATGGGTCCCGATATCATTTGGATCCTCATAAGTGACCCCATCGACCTCCAACATAGTGATTAGATTGTTGTGCCTATTGGAGTTAGCTACCTTATGGAAAAATTGGGTGCATCTGTCTCCCTCTTTCAACCACTTGACCCTAAATTTCTGACGTCAAGCAATCTCCTCCATCTCCACCAACCTCTCCAACTCTATCCTTAATTCTCCACGTCTCACTCTGTCATCTCCAACCAATCCGTGATTTTCCTCCAACCTATCCAATTCTACTATATTTGATATACATTGATTTTTGCAAAAAGTGACATCTTCCACAACCTCCTCACTCCACCTCTTAAGATCCCGTTTCAAGGCCTTTAATTTCCGATCTATAAAACTAGGTGACCCCCTGAAGTCATAGGATGCCCACCAATTCCGTACTCGTTCCTCAAAACCTTCAACTTTTAGCCACATCCTCTCGAACCTAAAATGCCTTCTTCCACTGCGCCCTACATTCCCAGATAATAAGATGGGGAAATGATCAGAATACAGCCTCACCAGTCTCCTTTGTGTGACCTTTGGATACTTGGCCTCCCACTCCCCGCAAACCAAAAATCGATCTATTCAGGATAGAACAGGTTGGTCTCGATTAGATGACCAAGTAAATTCTCCCTCAATCAAAGGCAAGTCTATCAACATGTTTTCCCTAAAGTTTGAAAAGTCCTCGATAGGCCCTGTTAATCTCCCCCCAATAGACCTTTCGTTAGAAAATCGAACTACATTAAAATCTTCTCCAATACACGTTGGGAGGCTCCACCAATTCATCATCCCAGCCAACTCATCCCACAATCCACCTCTACTCTCATCAGCATCAGGCTCATAAACTCCTGTAAACATCCACCGAAAGCCATCTCCAATATTTCTAAACGAAAGCGATAGAGAAAAAAGCCATTCACTAACCTCCTCCAAATAAAAAACTCCAGTATCCCACATTACTGAGATGAAAAAATAATTATCACTATCTATCGATTGTTGAGTTACTTGTATGGAAAACGATAATTGACATCTAGAACCACTGTAAAATGTATTGATTTTCAAATTAAATCCTCTCATTGTGAGGATTCCTTAATTAAATAGAAGGGATCAACTAAATTACGAAGGCTAATTACCCTAATCACGCTGCCGTATGCTAGAGATATGCTATATACCATACATACAACAATCATACCATAAATACAAAGATACTATTGGCATCCCTCCTCAAATTGATGTGGCCGATCAAGAAGCACCAATTTGTTCTCAAAAAACTGATGACGATGCTGAGTTGTGGCCTTTGTGAAAACATGAGCTATCTGGAGAGAAATGACGAGTATCCAGGCCTTCCAAATATAATGACAGCCCACCTCAATTTGTTTCGTATGTTCATGGTAAACTATAAGCAGTAAGACGAAGAGGAGTCCTTGCAAGAAAAAAAATAGACTATGACTAGGTGTGCCTCGGAGATGGCGAATGATACGGCAAACGGCGGCAAAATGAAGATGATGTGGAGCTTGCATGAACTGGCTAACCTGTTGGATTGCAAAAGAAACATCCGATTGAGTAATAGTCAGATAATTCAAACTTCCCACTAACTCGGGATCAGGCAAAAGTTCATCTTCATCGTTGTGAAATTTTATATGGACTTCCATAGGAGTGTCTACAGAGGATGGATCCTAATGACACCAAAAGAATCTGTGTGTATTTATGTTGATTTAAGAAGATACCAAAAGAATCTGTGTGAACATCCAATCCTAAGAAGTACGTAAGAGGGCCAAGGTCCTTTATATGAAATGAAGATTGAAGATGTTGTAGACATGTAATAATGGAGAAATTTGTCCTATTAATAACAATATCATCAACATAGACACAGAGAATAGCAATGCGTGCAGAAGTCTTGCAAAGAAACAATAATCATATCTACTCAGTTGAAATTAAAAATGAAGTAGTTCGAAACTTGTGAAATCATGCCCGTGGAGCCTGTTTTAGCCCATAACGAATGCTTCAACTTACAGACATCTAAAGAACGGGTGGTGAATAGGCCAGGAGGTAGTGCCATATAAATATTCTCTTTGAGATTACTATGAAGATAGACATTTTTGACATCCATTTGATAAAGTGGTCAACCCTGTGAAGCAGCAATAGAAATAGCCGTTCGTACTGTAGTCATCTTGGCAATCGGGGGCAAAAGTCTCTTCATAGTCCTCCCCATACTCCTGCCTATTTCTAAGGGCTACCAATCTTGCCTTATAACGATCCAAAGTCCCATAAGAACGGAGTTTGATTGAATAAATTGACTTACAACCAATGCCTTAGCCTCCATCTAACATGCATGCTGAACAGCCTTAGAGTAACATGAAGGAATGGAGATAGAAGACAAAGTAGCACGAAGAGATGTATGAGAAAAATCGTACTGATTAGGGGGACGAGAGATTCTAGTAGAGCGACGAGGGATGGTGTCAAAATCTAGATCATCCACTGAACGTACAGCCTATGCCGGCTCAGATGGTGAGTCCTTAGCAGAAGGGACAGTCGGAGCAGGTTCAGCTGGCGGGCTACGCTCAGGAAGGGGCAAAGGTGGTCTTCGTTGTTCATACACTAATCCATGTTTGATCTGTTCAGGAGTAGGAGGCAAGTTATCAAAATGTGGAAGAGCATGTATCTCGGGCAAAGATTCGACATGAGTAGAAAAGAAATATTGATTTTCAAAAAAAACTTGTTGAGAGAGACAAAATCTATTAGAGCAAGGATCATAGCAAATATAACATTTGTGAAAAATACTATAACCCATGAATGCATATCTAACAGATTGAGCCAATAATTTATTGCGTTCATGAGGTGGCAAATGTACAAAAACGACCAAAGGTATGCAAATCAAAATAGTGAGGATGCTGATGATACAATTGATAGTAGGGAGTGTCAAAATTTAAGACACTAGAAGGCAATCTATGAATTAAATACATTGTTGTAGATAATGCTTCTATCTAAAATTTAGGGGAAACAGAAGATTCAAGCAATAATGTACAAATCACATCTAACATATGTCGATTCTTGCGTTTAACAACACCATTTTGTTGAGAATAATGCCTTTAGTCCGAAGAAATGTATAAAAGTCATGAGACATATATTCACCTCCTAAATTAGATTGTAAAACCTTAATGCTAAAAGAAATTGATTTTCAACATAGGAAACAAATTGTTGAAAGATGGAGAACGCCTCAGTTTTAGATCGAAGAAAATAAATCCTAGTGAACTTACATAATTATCAATAAACATGACAGTATCTATAATGAGCATGAGAGATAATGGGGTATGAATCAAATTAAAACAGTGTTGAGAATGACTATCATGAGATGCAAAGGGGATGGATTTACTCTTACCCAGTTTACAAGTTGAGCAATGAAAGGAAATAGCAAAAAATTGATCTTTATTTCCCAACAAACCAGAGTTCAATAAACGAGATTAAACAATTGAGATAGGATGACCTAAACGTTTGTGCCATATTTCACTTTTATTGTTTACAGTAGTGTAAGACTAAGATATGAAACTAGGAATGGAGAAGTGCAGAGGAAACAAACGTCCAATTTTAAGCCCCTTTGCGATTATCTCCCCGGACACTTGATCTTACACAAGATAATGATCACGAGAAAATTGAACATCACAATTATTATCAACTAACTGCCCAACTGAAATAAGGCTAGTAGAGAGTTCAGGCAATACAAAAACTTCCTTAAATGAAGAATTAATGTCACCAATTGCTTGAGTAGGCAACTTATTACCATTAGCAATCTGAATATGAGATGAGCCATGATATGTTCGAACATTGCGAAGGATATTGGATGAACTAATAATATGATTTGATGCACTAGAATCAATAAGCCAAGATGAGCTATTACCTTGAAGCCCTAAGGCTCAAAAAATATCTGTTGGTCTTGGAGTAAGTGCTGATGAATTACCAGTGAAGGAGGAAGATGTAGAGCCAATAATAGTTTGATAAGCATTAGGATGACGATTCTGATTTCGAGTAGGACATTTATTGATATTATGCCCGGGTTTCTTGCAGTAATTGCAAAACTTCTTCTATGGCCATATTCTTTGCAATTGAATCACTCAAACTTTTCGCATGTCTCTTCTCTTGCCTTTCCTGTGAGCGGCATAAGCAACTGCAATTGGTATCATTTTGTCTTCCTGGAAAGTGGCTTGTGTGGCAAGACATTCTTCACGAAGTAATTCTCCAAAATACACATCCAAAGAAGGCGATGGATCACGATTAACCAAATTTGAATGGGTGCCCTCAAACTCAGCCCGTAATTTCATTAAAAACAGACCTCTTTTGCTTGGTCCATGAACCTTCTGAATAGCAAAGAGAGACTCGTCTGTTACCGTAGCATAAACCATGTCAGTAAATTCTACCCAGAGGTTCTGAAACCTAGAAAAATAATCCTGAATGGAGAGATCGTCCTGGGTTATATTTAGCAATGTCATCTTCCAACTAAAATCGTCAGGCAGTATTGTCCTGATTGTACACCTTTAAATACTCCCACATAGATTTAGCAGTTTTGTACGACCTCAGATTAAGAACTAGCTGATCAACAGACCCTAAAATCCACGTAATCACTCTAGCATCTTTAATTTTCCATCGAGCCAATTTAGGAGGCTCAATAGGAGCTGGGTCACTTCCATCTATATGACCCCATAGCTCTTTTCCCATAACAAATAAGCGAAATTGAAATTCCCAGGCAAAATAGTTTTTACTCGTGAATTTCCGACCAAAAGAGTCCAAATTACTACTCGACATCGTAAAATAACAAGTACAATAGAACATTAGCCCAACAAAAATAATAATAGAAAGTCCAACAATATGAACCCAATATAAAGAAAATACTAGCAATTATCCGCTAAAGTTATTAAAGCCCAATAGATACTGAGGCCCATTAACACTCCAAGATCCACTCCAAGATAGAAATTTAGACCGGTTCCATTGCAGAGATCGCTGTCACTGGAGCTCAAATTGATACTTAGTCATGCTCACGAGCACCATGTCTGCACTTCTGGATGACACCGATCTCACACAACTGCAACATCGAAGCACTAGTACTCACCGCGGACGACTGCAGCTCCGCTACAAAGAGATGACACCGGAATTTGTAAATTAAATCCACGATGCCAACAACCTGAGTAATCGTCACCCATACCAGAGATAACTAGAGTTGCCGAAAAAAAAAGCCATTATGTAACTAGCCCGAACCTGGAAGAACTCTAAAAATATTTTTGAGCTAAACTGAGCCCCCCTATGCCTTTATCCACTTTTCAACCACACATTTCATTAACTTTTATCAAAATTCCTAAAAATCTGATTTTTAGCAAAACCAAACGGGGGCTGAGTTGACCTTCTTTTCTTTGCTGGACTCTTCATTCCTTGGTAATTTTCATTAATGGATATTAATTGTATGAAGATGTTGTGTGGGAAAAAAATGAGAGTGAAGCATATAATTTTTATCACAGCTGGGAAGAGCCTCAGCACTTGGGGTGAGACTTGAAAATTGTTTTCTAGAGAGAATGCATTATCATTTAATTGAAATGAACATCAAATGGGCTGGAATCTGGGAATTCTAGAAAATTAACTGTGACTGATAAAAATAATCTCCTAAGAAACAGAGTGACTTTCTGATGTATTGAATGATATGGGAATGGGCTGGTTGATTGAGCAAGATCTATTTCAAGTAACCCACTGAAATTTGTCTGGACTTAGACTTAGTATAACTTAAAACATAATGAACATTAATGAATTCTGTCATCTTTTTCCTGAAAACTTACCAATGTTCAACTCATGAAGTAAAGTTTAGTGAGGAAAACTTCCATCAAAGATTACCAGAACATGCTCAACCAACAATTCCATTTCCTAACGTGCCCAATATTGACGTGTATGTACTTTTTTTAGTGCTGGAGAAGCATATTGCTTCAATAGAGCATGAAGTGCTATAAAGCATGACACGCTTAAAGGGAAACAAAGGGGTTCAGATATTTGTACTTTTTATCTGGTTAAGTTGGTGGAAACTCTGACAATGTCAACTTCTCGGGGCTGGTAGAAAAATAGCGATAACATCTTTGTTACTTGACCTGTGTGTTGTCTATGCTTAGGGCAATATAGGAGATCTAATAAAACATCTGGGTTTTAATCTAACCTAATAATTACGTCTAGGCCAAACAAGATGAATAAACTCTTGTGATGGATGGACCACATTCGATCTTGGATTTTAAGAACTATTAATGCATTGGAGTTATTTCTTTTTGATTGGAAAATATCCTAGTCTAAATGCTTCTTTCAGTGCATAATAATAGCTAATATTTGACAATTTTTTACCCTAATTTGATTTCGAAAAGTTCTTATTTTAGACTTCACTTTATTTGTTTACAAATTTTTATTGAACAGAGGGAAACTAGATGTAAATATTGATGTTAGATATCTGTTCAGCAGTAACTCAAGTTTTAGGACATTAATATATGTATTTGCTTTCCCATCTACAGGAAACCTGTCGAGCATTTCTTGAAAGCTGTAGATGAAATTACGGCAAAGGATATTGCTTCCACAGCACAGAAGCTTTTGTCATCTCCCCTCACGATGGCATCTTATGGAGATGGTAACTAAACTTTCCAACAAAAACATTTTCCCAATGATAATGCATATTGTGTATGGTCTCATCAGCATTGCATATTCAATCATGCTACTTGTGACAATGTGTGAGTTGGTAGGGATCCCCGACCTTATTTTTCAAATCAATGGTCCTGATCTTTACACCTCACACATTGTCAACTAGCTTAATTCTTGCATATTTCTGATTTCACCCTTCATCTGGCAGTTCTTTACGTACCAAGCTATGATGCGGTCAGCAGCAGGTTCCATTCAAAATGAAATCGTCGCAAGGCACTGTTCAGGCACCTTGCTAAGTCTCTAGATCATCTTTGTTGGGGGTAATTTGAAATTTTTGGACCTCTTTTCACCCATAGGTTGGACGAGTTACATGAAAAATAATATGGCAAATGTCGACAGACGACATTGTGAAGCCTGATTCTTTAGTGTGTGCTGCTTAATTTATGATTCAATTCTGGTCCACGCTCATCTTTTTATCTGTTATCACGTCCAATAAATTGTATGCAAATACAGAAAAATATACGGATTTTCCATTTATTGTTCTAATCTTTCCATATGGATTATGTAACCATGACCAAACGTATAATCAAACTCCAAGAAAATTAGAAAGGCTTGCAAATTTTTGTGCTTTTTATTCACTTTTAATGCTACAGTAATGCTAAGTGGACATTTGATGTGTGGTTAAAAAATGATTGGAGGGAAAATTGTTTAATTTTTTAAATTGGTCAAAATGTAAAGAATGATGTACATGTAGCATGATTGTTGCTAATGCAACTTCCTAATCAAATTGAATTTTATACATTAGCGTGTTATGGTTATGGGTATTCATCTTTAAAAGCAAGGTTTTAGGTTTCCAGCTTAGGAGCCTTATTTTTCAATAATATATTTTTCTTCAAATTTATTTGTAATCATATATTCTCTTAATAAAATAATATTATGCGTAGATCTAAATTTTTCTTACTTTTTAGCTACATTTTTTAGGACTTCACTATTTTCAAATCTGTTTTGAGGAAATTACATTGATCCAGAATTTTGAAGATTATATTTCAAATTTCTGATATTTTATTTCAAATGTTAGATATTTTCGGAAATAATAAATAAATATAAAATATGTATATATTTACCAAATTTGAGTTCCCTGTATACCAAAATAGTGGTATATATCAAAAGGGAGAGAGAATATCATAAAAATTAAAGGATAATGCTATGAGTACAGGAAAACATTCTCCATCTCCGACGATAATCCGACTGGCCTCCGACATTTGTCCGACCAAAGCGCGACTTTATACATCTCCGGATCCGGCTAATCCAACGGCGCCCGAAAACAATTCCGGAATCGACAAACGGTCAAAGACACATTTGAACCACTTGCGGCAAACCCAGATGACAAACATGTATTTTCTCTGTTGGTTCTAATGTATAGTTGATGCATCCCTTTTTTTGCAACATGTAAATACGTAGAAGGGTTCTAGAAATGAGAAACTGACATGGCTATAGTGATGTCTCTCCAATATCTTGGGGGTAATGTGTGATGTTTACCCTCTATGAAGTGGATTTTTAGCCTGTTTAACTGAAGGGATGTTGTTAATCTGCAGTTTACTTGACATTTATAGTGTCATACAATAATTACAACGAATAAAGTATAGAATTAATCTATAAGTTCTCACGGGAAAATGAGTGCTTTGTTTCGTTCTGAAATGAGTTGTTCTATTAGTTATTGTTGTGTAATTGGTTTTTCTGTTTCAAATCTGTTGTAGGAAAAGAGATTCTGGAAGATGAGAATTATGATTTATTTAGAGGATGAAGGTGGCACAGGATTGTGATTTTGACCGATGTTTATGTCCATTTCGAGTTCAACCATTTTGCTTCATTGTTCATCAGTTGCTACATTGATGCCCCTGGTAATCATAGATGCAAGCATGGATGGAAGCTGGTTTTTGTTGTGCCGGAACATTAAAATGGATGCACTTCGTATAATTTTCATTGATCAGTTTAGATTTTTTTTTTCCAGCACTTCTTGAGTTCTTGTATTCACCTCAGTTTTTGTCTTCTTCATGAAATCTATGAAGGAAAGTGTATACACTAATATTATGTCCCAAGGAAACAAATTTACCGAACTGTTGATGAATTATTATTATTACGTTCAAGATGATTTGCTGCTTCTATTGGCACCTCAACCAATAATTCACAACCAAACAAAACAAAATACTCGATGCACCTTTCCATAGCTAGACCTTGCTACTAAAATACGATACATGACATCCAAATTACTTAGAATTAAACCACGGTAGGGATTCAAAGTTAAATAACATGTACTGATCCTAATTTACATTACAACTTCATTCAATCTACAACTACAAATCACTCCAGCCCATTTCCTTTTGCAACTTCATTCCGTACACGCTTTTCCTTTGTGCATTGTCACCGGAAGTTGATTCTCCGCTTGTTTCATCCTCTTTCACCCACTTCCAATATCCGCAGTTCGCGCTACAGTGCATTGTCACCGGAACTTGATTCGCCGCTTGTTTCATCCTCTTTCACCCACTTCCAATATCCGCAGTTCGCGCTACAACAATTGAACATTTTGCCTTTGTTGTTAGTCTCCTTCGCCACCACAAAACACTTCACAAATGCATGTTTACACCACGGGCATGGGCGCTTATTTGGGCAATCCTTAAACAAATGATCGTTACGTCTGTAGCCATGACATACAACACAATTATTTCCTGCACTTGTGAATTGCGTATAAAGCACAAAGAAATAATGTCAACATGATGTAATGACTAATTCAAATAATTGCTTAACAAATTCCATAATCAAATGTTTGAGCAAGTCAAATAGAAACGAACATCTAATTCACATTCAATCTCAGTACACACGATAAGTTTGAAGACCTCTACAACTTCATTTCTATCTTCACCTCATGCAATATAATTGCAACATTCCAGATAATCTCAAACTTGGATATGCAATTAGTAGTGCAAGGATGTACGTTTAACACCTCTGTTATAGTTACTACTATTCAAGTTCTCAATTTTAACACTTCTATAACTTCAACAAACATTGAATCTTCAAATTTCAGAAAGATGAAATTCCATTACACAGTTCACAAAATCTCGAAAAATGCTCAAAGGGTTTCTAACTAGAAATTCATACACATACACAGCACCTCCAGAACGGCTCAAATAATGGTTCTCACTCCAAATGAAATAACCATGAGTATAGCATCGATACACCCATAAAAACCAAATATCATGCTTACCAAATGTTCGCACATTACCCCTAAGATATTGGAGAGACATCACTATAGCCATGTCAGTTTCTCATTTCTAGAACCCTTCTACGTATTTACATGTTTGCAAAAAAAGGGATGCATCAACTATACATTAGAACCAACAAAGAAAATACCTGTCTATCATCTGGGTTCGCGCGCCGTTGGATTAGCCGGATCCGGAGATGTATAAAGTCGGGCTTTGGTCGGACAAATGTCGGAGGGTAGTCGGATTATCGTCGGAGATGGAGAATGTCGCCGGCCGGATTTTTTAGCGCCATTGGAGTAGCGGAGTGGAGTCTATTTGGGAAAATTGTGGAATGAAAATGATTTTCCCGGTTTTGGCCCTTTTTCATTTTCATTTCAAATATTTTTTACTTTGTTGCCACGTGTGCAGTTTTGAATTCCCGTAAAAATTCTGTAACAACTTTCCTGTACTCATAGCAATTGGCCCTCTTTCATTTTCATTTCAAACTTTTTTTTCTTTGTTGCCACGTGTACAGTTTTGAATTCCTGTAAAATTTCAGTAACAACTTTCCTGTACTCATAGCATTATCCCAACGTTAAACCTCCATTTCACCTACGAAACCCATGATTGTCCTCTTCATAAACGGAATAGCGGTATTCTCCATTTCACCCACAAAACCTATTATCTTCTTTCTCATTATCATATTGTGACCTCCCTCGACCGAAGAATCATTACAAGTTAAAACCTCCATTTCACCCACAAAACCTACGATCGCCCTCTTCAAATATTGAATAGTGTACTACGGTATTCTTAATTTCATCTATAAAACCCATTTTCTTCTTCCCTAACATTGTGACCTCGGCATCCACGGCATTCGGTTTTCAAAAATCTTTCAAAAAATACCAGAAATTGAAAATGGATTTACCAAGGAGCAATGATTCCAAAAGTTGAGAGAAGATGGATGAGAAATCTAGAAAAAAAAGAAAGAAAATGAAAAGGAAAAGGATGAAAGTAAGTAAAGATGCGACGCCTGAAACCAGTCGCAAAACTCCACCAAAATCGCGAAATACTAGTGTCCGAAAGGTAAATCAATCAATCTTTATCTGATTTTGTTATTTGGAAATTGGTATTTAACATATGTTGAGTGTGAATGGTTTAGGTATTCGCACAATGTAAGAATTTGTGACCTCATTTTGTGAAAAATGCGATTGGAGCATATAATCAGGGTTTATTTGTTTGAAAAGTTAAAATCAATTGTTTATCTAAGGGTTTATTTAACATTTGTTGGTTGTTTATGGTTTGTGTAGTCGCACATTGTTAGAAGTTGTGACCTCATTTCAATGTGAACTCTATTCGAGATACCATGACCAACATTCTCTTTGTGACCTTAATATTTGTTCGTATTTTATACAATTATTCGGGATCTTAAAATATCAATATTTTGTATTTTTTTGACAAAATATATTCTAAATTATTGTTTTTTATGTTATATAAGCAAAACTCATTGGTTGAACGAAGATTCAAAATAAAGAAGCGAAAATTGGTAACAAGGAGCAAAATTTAAAGTTTGAGGACCAAATTGTAATTATTCAATAGTTGATTCGGATACAAGAAGATACTTTGAATATTTTTAGGAGACAATTAGATGGAATTAGAACTCAAAAAGGAATGGAATATGATCAAAATTTTATCAAAATCAATTTCCATTCTCACAATTTATATTCCGAATTTTTAGTGAAAAATTAAGATCCATTTTTAGCATAATAAATGCTAGAATTGGAAAATTTCTATATCTATCAAAGTTGTATCCCTTTAAGCTATATTTCCGACTCACTTTGAATCGTTTCAATCTGATATCGGGAGAGAAATTTAAGGTCAAAATACCAATTGCTGTATAGAGACAAAAAATCCATGCGCAAATAGAACTTTCCTTATTCGATTGGAATTATTTTGGAAACCAATTTGGACGTGATTTTCTAACAATTTTCTACTCCTACAAATACCTAACTGCAGAATACATAT